TCCCGCGTAGCTGGGACTACAGGCATGCACCACCATGCCTGGCTAATTTTTTTTTCTATATATATTAGTTGGCCAATTAATTTCTTTCTATTTATAGTAGAGACAGGGTCTCGCTCTTGCTCAGGGTGGTTTTGAACTCCTGACCTCGAGCAATCTGCCCGCCTCGGCCTCCCAGAGTGCTAGGATTACAGGCGTGAGCCACCACGCCTGGCCAGAGCTTTTCAGTTTTAAGATTGGGTTTCCAGGAGATTGTTTCCACAGTCCCTCCAGCTAGTTGACTCCATCTCTGGAAAATTCTGCACCGGACAGTGAGCTCTTTGAGGGCAGGGAGTGTGTCTCACTTGCTCATATTTCTCTTAGGATACTTTGTCCAGAGCTTGTCAAATACTAGATTCATTTCAAATACATATGTTATATATACTTATGTTGAAGTAGCAGGCTTCATCATTCCCTTTTATCCTGTGGCAGGGAAGAATTTTCTAGCCCACCACAACTCCTCTGTTCCCATGGGAGGGCTTACCCACCCCCTTCTGGGGAGCTAGCCCACACTCAGGACAACTGAAGGGAGAGAAGAGTCAAGACTTTGCTGGTCTAGTCACAAAATTATGCTATTGCAGGGAGTCCATATTATAAAAATAAAGATACTTTTGTCTTGTAGATTTTCTACTCTGAGGCCATGTCAGGAATAGTCACCTCTGTCCCCTAGAGATTCTCTGGAATCCATGCAAAGTCTGCCTGAAACAAGCATAGTTTGACAGGCGACACGTGTGAAAAATAAAGGGCTGTTTTATTCCGTCCTCTTAACTTCCTGTGGGCAAGATCATTTGGGACTAAATTTTCTTTCTAGAAAAGTCCTGTGCCTCCTGCCTTCCAGCATTAAGGGAATAGTCAAGAGCTTTCACACTGGCTTGGCTAGAGAAAGCCCAGCGTTTGCTTAGGTTTCCAGCCCCAAAGGTCGGGACCCCATGTGGACCCCAATTGAAATGGGGCAGAAGCAAAGACGGACACCCCACATAGAGGACGCCTCTGGGTTAGCGCACACGGGCCATGGGGGACTCACTTTTTATTTATACAGGATAGAAAGAAAAGCCAGCCAAAGAAAGACCATTTCTGGTCAGAATAGTAGATTTTAAGCCTTCACTGCGTGTTTGGGAAAAGCTAGGCGGGGCCGTTGAGACATGACCAGTGTGGGCATAACCGGGCTGGAGGTGATAATTAGTATGTCTGGAGTCTGTGATGAGAAGTGCTTGCTCACAGTCATCTAACAGAAACACATGGGGTTTTCATCACTTTTGTATGAGGTGTCATGTCCGTTCTTACGCTGCCTGTCACAGGCTGCTCTGCCCCAGGTGGCCACCTGTGCCATGGCCAGGCGGGGAGTTGGAGAGGCTTCTCGGGCTGGAGCATTGCTCAGCCTGAGATGCCAAGAGGGTGTCTGGCTCTTGGAACATACAGGACAGGCTTAGAAGACAAAACTCACTTCTAGGGAAGCTTCTGCCCTGTGACTGGCTGGACATAAACAAGTTTCAGACAATTGCTCCCTTTCTACTAGGAATTAAAAACCATCTCTAGTGGTTTCCTCTATGTTTGGGCTAACTACCACATATCAGCATGAACTTTGTTGGCATCAAATCTTCAAATCCCTTTAACCAAGCTTCCTAGACCCTAACTGCATGCACGTCTTACTTCTGTTGTTTCTGCCTTCTGTTTTCCACACCATGTCGCTTGTTGCCATCATTAGCAAAGACCATCCTCTGAGGTTCATACAGTCCAAGGTTTTGTCTTCAACATGGGATAGAAGCAAGGAACATTTTGAGTGAGGCACAAAGATCTATTTAATTTAAACATGAGAAGGTTAGAGTTATAGCCAAAATTTTTAGAGCTTTTTTTAATAAACCATTGGGAGGGTCCCTATATTTATTCAGTCCCATTTGAACCTGCTTGCATTTTCAGTCTGTGCAGGTGCATCTGTCATTCATTCCTAGCCCCCCTGCTTATTAGCTGTGCCATTGTGCTTAGTTACTTAACCTTGATGAGCCAGTTTCCTGATCTGTAAAATGGGTATAATAGTTTTGAAGGCATCAAATGAGACAATTCCTGTGAAATACTTAGCACAATGCCTGGCATGCGTAAAGTCTTAATAGATGGAGGCTATTTTTATTCATTCAATGAAACAGACAAGCATTGGGTATCTGCTTGGTTCATGACATATCATAGGTATAAAAATGCTTCAAGACATTGGCTCCTGTCCATAAAGAGTTTAAAGTCAGGGTTGATGAAGGCAGGGAAGTTAAACACTTATGCAATTTGAAAGGTAGAAAGTAATAAAGAACAGAAAGATTATAAAATGGAGAATTCTTTGAGAAAAGAGTAATATTTGAACTGGGTCTTGTAGGATATGAAGAATGCAGACATGAAGAGATGAGTGTGGATGAAGCAACTGACTTTCTGGAGGAAGAAAGCAAACCCTAAGATTGGAATTGGACAGGAATGGTGGGGATATGTCAGCATGCAGCAAAGGCTGGCTTGAGATAAGGAATAAAATGGACAGAGGGGGGAAGTCAGACCACAAAAATGAGGGAGGGTCAGAATGGGAGTGCAGGCTGGTTGGAAATGCCATGCTGAAGGGTGTGGCCTTGGGTTGATGGGCCGTTGAAAGCTTTTGGGGAATGGGAGGTAATAAAATCCCTTGGTTTACTGTTTACTGTATGAAATGGTATCTTTTCTTCATTTGTCCCAAATCCTTTTTGTTTATTTATGCCCTTTCAGGTTTCTGGAGCCCTGTTAGGACAGGAAAGGGTGAACATTACTGTGATTTAATCATGATGTGCTGGCTGGGAGAGGGACTAGCCTTATCTCCAGTGAGGACAAGAGGGAATGAAGATCTAATGTGGACTGTTCTATTCTAAGATGTTCATTTTCTTTCCACCTTGCAAATATTGATAACACTAAAACCCTTGCCAGACTTTCTTTGGAACTTGGCAAATGATCAACTCTCTTCTCTGGAATATCAAACCCAATATTGAACCATCAAATACTGATATTTGCATGGCCTTTAGTTATTGACAATGCTGTTTTATTATTACTTTTACTACTGTATGTGATAATTGATCAATATAATGATATTGACCAGAATAATGGCTCTAGCTGTGAGGTCTAAGTACATCCCAAATCCTTTTTAAATCTACTTTACCACAGTTTTCTTCTGCTTGAGATATTTAGAAACAAAAGAGTACCTCTGCTCTTGGGTATATACAACCCTGCTGGTGAATGTGATGAGAAAAATTACTGGGTAAGGGATTAGACAGCCACAGATTGTATCCTATTTGGAGCTGTGTAGTTTTGAAAAAATATCATACTGCTTTTAGCGAAATTGATTGTAACTCAGGGAGTGTAAGTTTAGGATAGATATGGGTGCATAAAATTGATTGCTTTTGTTCCAATGTTGACTTTTCGTCTTGTATGAGTGATTCATTTGAATTTGGAGGGTGGAATAATATGTTGCTTCTTTACAGTCTAACAGGATTTCTGTAGCCACAGAGGACAAAGTACAAGGGATTACTACCCGAGAGGGGACAATGAAGCTCCATCCTCTAGAAAAAGGAAAGAAGAGGCTGAGGGAGGAGATAGCATCTAAGGAGGGAGGTTACAAACCGCCTTTCCCCTCTGGCTTCTGCCTTCCCTGCCCAGGTTAATTTACATTTCAATGCAGACTTAATACTTCTAAAGATTTTATGAAATTTCCAAGCTCAAATGTTTGTCCTCTTTGTCATCCTAGCTGCATTCCTGCAATTATTAGTACAAATATTTCAATCCTAAAATGAGGTGAGGAGGCCTGTGAGTGTTTATTAAAGGAGGGAGAGGATAGAGTCCCAGTCGGAGAACTTAGATCCTGTGCTGGGAGAGTCAGGCAGGTCCCGCCTGGCGGGTGGTAGCTTAGAAAGAAAGTGCCAGGGAGACAGGTGAGCAGGCGAGTAGCAGGGGCGGATAGTGAAGTGCATCTGTGTAGGGTGACCGGCAGGAGGGCTGCATTTTCTGACTCAGGGAGGTAAAGTCCTTGGCACTACGGTGACCCGCAAGAGAAGCAAAAGTCACGACTCTGTGATCCCCAGAGACTCCGGCTGATCTGCCTCCACTCCACCCTACTCCTCTAGGAGTCAGAAGCCTCAGCCTAGAAAGCAGGCGGAGAGGCAGCCCTTTGAACCGGGCCACGTCCCTTCCCCGAATGCCTCAGACCCAGAGAGGGGCAGGAATTCCTTAACCGTTGTCCTCTGCCCCTCCCCACGGCAGCCCCGCGCCACGTGGCGGGACCGGCGGGAGCTGTCCGTGGTGCTGAACCCTTCCTAGGCCAGGCCGGCCCCGTCGGCCGCGAAGGCACCGCAGCCTCCGCAAAGGTCTTGGTGCTTCCGCGGGAGGGTGAGGGCACGAAGGCCCGCGACGACCTCCAGGCTGTATATTTTATATTTTAAATCCCTGCCCAAACCCTCTAGTGACTCTGTCTGCGGTAGCCGGTAGAGATCCAGCGCTTAAACACGGGTCCCGCCGTCTCCCCTACACCTCTTGATGCATCTCAACCCCCCACTCCTACTTTCTCCCCTGCACCTGCCCTCTTGAGACTGCACCGGGTTGTCGCGACAGCCTGGCGCTTCACGCCTGTCCTCCGCCCTCCTCCACTGCGCTCCTCAGAGCGCGACTCTCTGGGGCGCTGCAAGCTCCCGCAGTGAGACGCTCCCCTCGCTGCTCTGGCCCAGGCTTGCCAGCCCCTCCTCCCTGTTTGGGTTCCATCCTCCCCACATTGTCCTCCTCACTAGTGCTCTAAGCACCGAGCCGGCCGCGCTCCGCCCCCACTTTCCATACATGGGAGCGCTGGAGTGGGGGGCGGGGCGGAGGGGAGGCGCTCCCCGTCTTCCTCAAAGGCTGCTGGCCCGCTGGGAACCCTTGCATCCGTTCAGCTCCCGCGGACAAGCGAGAAGCCTGGGCCGCCGTCGCGGGCGGAGGACAGCTGTGGACAGAAAGAATTCTGCCCTTTCCTCCCCGGCGCTTTTCTGCCGGCCAAAGCCGGCTCGCAGGTAGGACCGCGCTCCTGGGGCTGGCCCGTGTGGACTGCGAGGGCTGTAAATTCAGTAGGAGGTGTTTAAATAACCCGTGCATGTCTAACCTTGCGTATGTTTCTCGTACAGAGGTGGGAGGTCAGCACTTTTTATTGCTTTTGCTGTCGTTCTGGGGCCAGTTATTCCAAAGCGAGGACTTGGGTGACGGGGGAGGGACGCGGTTGGTGGAGGGCGGACAGAGAATGGGAAGTGATGAACTTTGGTTATCTTTGGACAGGTGGCCATGGCCTCACGGCCCACTCGGGGCCCCGGGGGCCCGGAATTGCTTTCCGGGCTGCCGCCTGCGGTCACAACTGCGGCCAACCAGAGCGCAGAGGCGTCGGCGGGCAACGGGTCGGTGGCTGGCCCCGAGGCTCAGGCCCTCACGCCCTTCCAGAGCCTGCAGCTGGTGCATCAGCTGAAGGGGCTGATTGTGCTGCTCTACAGCGTCGTGGTGGTCGTGGGGCTGGTGGGCAACTGCCTGCTGGTGCTGGTGATCGCGCGGGTGCGCCGGCTGCACAACGTGACCAACTTCCTCATCGGCAACCTGGCCTTGTCCGACGTGCTCATGTGCGCCGCCTGCGTGCCGCTCACGCTGGCCTACGCCTTCGAGCCGCGCGGCTGGGTGTTCGGCGGCGGCCTGTGCCACCTGGTCTTCTTCCTGCAGCCGGTCACCGTGTACGTGTCGGTGTTCACGCTCACCACCATCGCCGTGGACCGCTACGTCGTGCTGGTGCACCCGCTGCGCCGGCGCATCTCGCTGCGCCTCAGCGCCTACGCAGTGCTGGCCATCTGGGCGCTGTCCGCGGTGCTGGCGCTGCCCGCCGCCGTGCACACCTACCACGTCGAGCTCAAGCCGCACGACGTGCGCCTCTGCGAGGAGTTCTGGGGCTCGCAGGAGCGCCAGCGCCAGCTCTACGCCGGGGGGCTGCTGCTCTTCACCTACCTGCTCCCTCTGCTGGTCATCCTCCTGTCCTACGTCCGCGTGTCGGTGAAGCTCCGGAACCGCGTGGTGCCCGGCTGCGTGACCCAGAGCCAGGCCGACTGGGACCGCGCGCGGCGCCGCCGCACCTTCTGCTTGCTGGTGGTGGTCGTGGTGGTGTTCGCCGTCTGCTGGCTGCCGCTGCACGTCTTCAACCTGCTGCGGGACCTCGACCCGCGCGCCATCGACCCGTACGCCTTTGGGCTGGTGCAGCTGCTCTGCCACTGGCTCGCCATGAGCTCGGCCTGCTACAACCCCTTCATCTACGCCTGGCTGCACGACAGCTTCCGCGAGGAGCTACGCAAGCTCCTGCTCGCTTGGCCCCGCAAGATCGTGCCGCATGGCCAGAGCGTGACTGTCAGCGTGGTCATCTGATGCCCCTGAGCCAGGCCCTGGTGGAGCAGCTGCATGTCCACTGGCCTCCGTGGGTGCCACCCGAGGTCGGACTGGAGAGCAGGTGCCCAGCACCAGAGCTAAGCCAACACGGGGCAGCATTCCCAGCCCGGCCCTCTCGTCCAGCTCTCTCCCTTGTCTTGTGTGTTTGTGTAATGTTAAGTGGGCTTTGCTGAGCGTCTTGTTCTTTTCTTGGAGGAGGCCAGGGAGAGGGAGGAGGATTTATTGTTTCTTCCTTATGCCCTTGAAGGCCAAACAAACCTCTTCCTCTTGGTTCAGGAAAGTCTCCGAGAGCCGTGCTTGTCTCTTTGCTTCCCTTTCCTCTTGCTCAGCAGTAAGATGAAAGAACGGTGTGAGTGGGATTTCCAGTGACCCCGTTGGGCTTGGTATGGCTTTTCCGTTTGCCTTTTTACAAAGATCCAGGTGAGATATAATACCTGATATTGCATAGTCAATTTGAACCCCTGAATTTCTAGGATTTCAGGTAAACGTGTATTACAAATCTACATCTAGGATTCCAGCATTTCCGGAATGAGACCTTTATATACCAAAGAGTTTTAGTTTTAAAACCACTTGAATTTATAGTACGAAACCACCTACAAGCCACCTTTCAAAAGGTCTTGCTTTTGTTTTCCCTCCACCTTACTCCCCAACTACTATTAATATTTTAAAATGGTGAGAATAATTGGCCAATGAAGAGACAGATAAGTAGAAATAGATAAAGATGAAAAGGCCCAATGCACTTAAGATGACAAGTAACTGTACATAAGGACAGACATCCTCTGTGTGTGTGTGTGTGTGTGTGTGTGTGTGTACACACCCAGTGTTTGCCACAAGGCAGGCACTCAAATATTTGATTTTCTGAATACTCTATGTAAACCGTGTGCCATTCTCTTGCATCCCCTAATTGCTCAATTGCAACAGATCAACAGCTGTCATCTGACTGCTCAGCACCTGCTCTGTAGTGATACTTGGAATATGATCAACCCAGAGTACAAGGACTGGGAGAAGTTTACTTAAGGACAGAACAGAAACTGCCACCCACAAGATGTGTAGATGGAACACTAATTACTTCTAGGGTCAAGGGAACAGGTGAAGGCTGTTGAGCATGACACCAGGCTGATAATCATCACGGTAACCTCCTGAGAGTTCTGTAATTGAGGACAAGTGCGCTGGGACAAGGGTCTCCACACTGAGTGTTGGAGCAGCCAGTGGGGCAGTGAGGTCAGGAGCCGTGGGAAATGACACAGAACGTGCAGCTGTCAGATCAGCCCTGTGTCTGGCGACTCAATCACCATCTGTACTGTGCTGGTTCTTCTTCCCCAACTCCCTAAACACAAGAATCACTGTTTCCCTCCTCCTGCTTCTCTTAGTCTCAGACGTGAGCTCATTCACTCACTAAAGTGTGCCCTAAAAGGAAAGGAAAGAGAGACTATATGGGGAAGACAAGGGTTAAATCCTATTACACTCATGTCAACAACCACTTGGTTGGGCTAGTTAGCAGTAGGGTTCTTTAGTAGGTGCAGGCCTAGACTTTTAGCATGTGAAGAAGGGCTAGAAAAGCCTGGCTTGGGAAAAAGGAAAAAGCAGGTGAAGATGGGAGATGCAAATTACCCCTGGCAATGGCGCTAAATGGACTCATGCATGGATTGGAGAACAAAGAGCCTGTGCACTTATAACGCAGCCAACCCAGCAGCATCGTGTTAGGGCATTATTGCCGCTGCCCCAAATGAGTTCATCTTCCAGGGACCCCAGGGACAGGCGCTTGTGCTCCCAGCAGCTTTATTACTTAGGAGGCTGATGGCCAGACAGTCCACATTTCCTTAGAGCATTTTTTGATGGGTATGTGTGGAGGACATAGAGGGTAGGGGAAGGAGATGGCTTAGTTGGGGAGGAATCTGATTCATTGTGGTCTCTTTTTTGGAAGGTTTAAATCACTGCTTATCAGCCCTGGCTGCTCTTAGAATCATCTGGAGAACTTAAAAAAAAAAAGATGTCCAGGCCCTCCACCAGGAGAGTCTAATTGAGTCAAGATGGCCTGGGTATCAGTATTTTTCAAAGTGCTTAAGGTGACTTTAATGTGCATCCAGGATTAAGCACCTCAAGAATTATCCTCTTTCTAATGAATCCGAGAAGTGAAGCTTCAATTGCACCTGTTGAAGATGTTAAGAATTTGGAGTTGAATTTGACAGTGAGTTACATGTTATACTCTAGTCTTCAGACAATACTTGATCAATCACATAGAGACAAATCATTGTAATCAGAATTTACAGGGATTCACTCCAGTTTCCTTACACATTTCCTATGTCTGTGTGAGTAGTTCAATCAGGTTAGAAGAAACATCGTCCAACTTTAGGTCAATTGCATTATAAAGTTATATACCATCAATTATTTTAAATCTTAGTTGTCAAGGTGTTTGAAAAATTAAAGTGTTCCCTGATTATCTTGATTTAAGACTGTAGCGATTGTGAGAAAAAAGTATCCCCATTAATTACTAGAAAAGCTGTCACTAGTTTCTGTCATGCCTACCTTTAAAATTAAAGTTTTAAACATTTATTTGTACTTTATAAAGAGCACAAAGAGGTTGTAGAATTAGGTTGTGCTTATAAACATCTGTACAAATTATGAAGAGTGGCAATTAAACAGCAATTAATTCTTATGACATCTGAAATCTATTTGGGGCTAGTTTATAAATCAAACCAATTTTTACAAAATTCAGAGGTGAGTCCCAGAGAAATATGCATTGAATTGTAGGTAGAAAATTTATTTAATAATTCATTTTGGTTAATATCAAGCAGCTAAGATGTGTTCCCAGGCCTCTTGCTGCAAGGAGCCACACAGGCAGTAGAGCTGGGAACTGAGCCAACTTGGTACTTGGCAGCAGCCCTTCCCAAGGCTAACGGAGCTCTGTCATCCTCTTTGCAAGCATTGGCACCAGGTCTCACTTTTGGCAGCTGATCAATACATTTATCTCACTAAATCGGCAGAGGAGTGTTTTCAATGTGTGTTAGCAACAGTTACCTACCTGGAAATAGCAACTGTGAGAGCCGCTAAGGTAACCATGTTCCAATTGATGTAACCTTTTTGATCTGTCATTCTTGGGAATTTTCAGTCTGCTCTTTGGCCAGGATAGCCAAGTTCCAGGTTTATTTTCCCAGGTAGGCTCATCAACCACCTCTGTCCTGTGGTTTGCATTCTTGTATGTCTAGTAATGTTTCAAATGCGAGGCACAAGATTGACCTCAAGGGGACCCGGGCAAGAGTGTGGATAGATCTGGCAGTGAACACAGGACCCATCCCTCAGAGATGAGAGGTCAGCAGCATCTTTGTTTCTCAAGGCAGGTCCTTGAATGAGTTACCTCCCTGCGCTGATGTCTTTGCTATGTGTGTAAGATGCATGAGTTGCTGCATCTCCATGCAAAGCCCCTCAGGCTGGGGCTCGTACTGTGTCTGACACGTTGCGCGTGTTCAATAAATATTAAATCAGTTGCAGTCTTCAACCCTGGGATTAATAAACCAAGCCAGTTACACATGTGGGGTAACTATACAATCTCAGGATGGCCAGGGTCAAAGCAAGATAAATCCTATCAAGGACAACATGCTACTCAACCTAGATTTGCCAATTCCAACTAATTCCAGAGATGAACTATTTATTTGGGGTCTTCTGTGACCCCCTGCCCCAACCTCACTAATGTCAGCACTTCAATTTATGGCACTAAGCTCTGTGCTGCCGAGACTGCATGTGCCTAAGTCCACAGGTCCATCAAAGTGAGAGCAGAGAACGTTATGCTTAATTCCTGTACAATCGTGAATCTGCATAATTATTTAAATGTTAGCATTTTATCACCCATTTCTCACATATACCTTGGGAAGCCCTGAAAGCATTCAACATGTGGGTCTATAAATAAAATAAAGAGGATTCTAAAATATTCATGACAGTCATCAACATGATTTTCTGATACATCTAAAATACCATTTAAAAACAGATTTATTGTACAACTTTTCAGGGACCCATTTATCCTGCAAAGTGAGACACACTAATATACAGATGTTAGAAATGTAAAATATTTATTTGGATTGGATGAGGGTTGCAATCTTGATTTGTTGAAAGACTGTGCATTCCCAATCAGTCTTGGAAGAAGAAAGCCTTATTTGTGAAAACTAAGTGTGCACACTTCTAATGGGTTTTGGTTTGTTTTTCTCTGCTATTCAATTCAATTCTCATTTCCCTCTCTATTTCTCTGCTACACCTTTTTCTGCTACTTTTCCATATCTACAAAACATCTTCTCTCTGAAGCCCCTTCTGCACCAGTGAGGGGAGGTGGTGGGATCCAAGCATCAGTCTTCTGGTCGGTCTTTATAAAGTGGAGAACGGTGAAGAGAAACCTGGCTAGTTGAATCTCGGGGGCAGGCTGCACCAGCTTAGGGAGGGCTGCAGCTCACTGTATTTCCTGCCCAGGGGGGTCTCGGAGCTCACACGATGAGTGTTTAGCAGACAATCTCCAGGCCTAGGTGGATATAGAAGTTTGGATAGAATCTCCATAGGGCCCTTAAGCTGATAAATCTCACAGAGAGCTCTCAAGAGGGACCTAACAACGAAAGGTCAAATGTGTTTCATTTTGATGTTTGGTACTGGAGTAAAGAAACCTGAGCCTGAAAAAGCAAAGGACAAACAGTCTCTGCCTTTAAGCACGCCCTGCCTCCTTTCCCCCTCCCTCAGCTCTCACAAAATCCTCTTCCTGACTTGCTGACGACTAAGTCCCCTAGTCCCAGAACTCATCTCCTCACCCTGGAAAGACATCCAATGAGGAATGGAAAGCCATTCCTACATCCCCCACCCACCCTTGTTATTGCAATGAAAAAATCCTTTTGAGCTGGAAAAATTAAATAACAACTTCAGGTTTGAGCTCTAGTTAGAAGTCAGGCACTGGGCTTTTCTCCCTAGCCCAGAACACCACAATGACCTCTGGGTCTTCACCCTAGAAGGTCAGCCTGGTCCCCTGGGCAGGAGGCCCAATGCTGCAGCATAATATGCTCTAGGGCAGACAGGTAAGGTGGCCCGGCCACAAACAGGTTCCTGCAAGGAGACTGTCCTTCTGCGGTCACTGCCCTTTGCAGGGCAAATGCTGGGGCACACCGACCTCTTCATTATTAGAAAGAAGACTCAAGAGCAGTCACAGCTGGAAAACGGGAGCACTTAGTTTTGCCATCTTAACAGTAGCTAGTGTATGCCAGCAGCCAAGAAGCCTGGAGAGTGAGTGCAATGAAATTGCTGAAGGCATTTTCCACAGCTAGTTGAGAACTGAATATTTTTCTTTGCAAGAAGTGGTCCAAAGCCTGGAAGAAGTGATAGTTGGTGCAAGGTCTGGCGAATACGGTGCATGACAGGGAGTTTCCAAGTCCAGCTTCTGTAGTTTGAGCAGCATTGTCTGTGTGACGTTCAGTTGAGCTTTGTCTTGCAAGAGGATTGGCCTGTCTCTATTGATCAATCTTGGCTGCTTAATCACAAACATCCTCATCATTTTGTCCAGTTGGTTGCAGTAGACATCTGCTGCAATTGATTGACCAGGTTTCCTGAAGCTATAGTGGATAATACCAGCCCTGGACCACCAAGCAGACGCCATTTGATTTTTTGGATGAATATTCAGTTTTGCACTGCGTTTCAGCACTCCATCTTTATCCAACCATTGTGTCAAATGCTTGCAATTGTCAAAACGAATCATTTTT